ATCTCCAGACTACAGAGATCAGTTTCCCCTGGAGGAAATGGCCGCTTTGGAGGGTGGACTCTGTGGCCTGGTGCCCCACTGAGGTCCCATCTCTCCCCAAACCCTGCTCTCTCCAGGCTCCATCCCCCAAACCTCCAGGAATTTCTCAGCCTGAAGTTGCAACCCTAAGCAACGCCAGCTTCCCCTATTCTGAGACGTTCTTGCTTCCCCGCTCTTGGTAGCAGGCAACTTCCCATTTTGGAAGGGCTGGCTTCAGACAGCAGCTGCAAAGGGGGAACAGGCCTGTTCGGGCCCACTGTAGGGTTGCCAGCTCCAGGCTGGGGAATCCCTGGAGCTTTGGGAATGGAGGGCAGGGTTTTGGGGGGGGGAACCTCAGTAGGGAAAAATGCGACGGAGTCCAACCTCCAAAGCAGCTGCTTTCTGCAAGGGAACAGATCTCTGTTTAGGGATGCCAGCCTCCAGGTGGGGCCTGGGGATCCCCCGGAATTCCAGCTCATCCCCAGACTACAGAGATCAGTTCCCCTGGAGGAAATGGCCGCTTTGGAGGGTGGACTCTGTAGCCTGGTGCCCCACTGAGATCCCATCTCTCCCCAAACCCTGCTCTCCCCACGCTCCATCTCCCAAATATGCACGAATTTCTGAACCCAGAGTTGGCAACCCTACAGACTGTGTATAAATGGCCTTGAAAAGTACTGGGTTCGATGCATGGAGAGGCGGACTACGACATGCTGACAAGTCGCGTTGATTCAGCACAACACGAGACAAAGACTGGCCGGCAAGGGCCAACTATATACACCCTCCCCAGACACACCCACAGTCCTACTGGAGGGTTTGAATCTCCCGCCAAGTTCCTTTTGGTGGACTGAAAGGTGGACTAGGATCCTTGGCCCCTGTTGTGTTAGGAGCCAAGCTAGGGGACTCAGGACATAGACCTCTAGTGGTGGTCCACGTGTACAACAGGCCTCTTTGCTGTGAGGTCCACCCATGCGCCTGCGTCAGACCAGTCAATCTGTTTATGTTGGGGCGACATGTATGCCTGCGCCACTTATGTCTTTTATTGTCTTCACCGTGTTTGAGTCGCTCGTGTCGGAACACAAGAGGGTGGCTGGCTTGTGCCATGAACCATAATTTTTTTTCTGCCTCCTAACAAGGTCCCCGAGTCCTTGCAGTTTGCCATCGTGATGACGGGGCTGCCTGGGTCGTGTCCCTGGGAGGGCGATGCCAGGCAATTCAGCCCAAGGAGGCTCATCCCACGTTCACTCCGACAGACGTTATTGCCAGAATACGCGAAGTGGAGGAGACGTAGGGCTACCAAGTTTCTGCTATTGGGTGTGGCCTATTATGCTAATGAGTTCCTGCTGGGCGTGGCCAACTTGGGAGCCAGCCGGAACTCCGTTCCTGTGCGTTTCTGCCCCAAAATAGCCCTGTGTTTATGTCGGGGTGACGTGTATGCCTGCGCCACTTACATCTTTCATTGTCTTCACCGTGTTTGAGGCGCTCGCGTTGGAACACAAGAGGGTGGCCGGCTTGTACCAGGAACCATAATATTATTTCTGCCTCCTGGTAAGGTCCCTGAGTCCTCGCAGCTTGCCATCGTGATGACGGGGCTGCCTGTGTCTCCAGGAGGGCGATGCCAGGCGATTCAGCCCAAGGAGGCTTATCCCACATTCACTCCGACAAACGTTATTTCCAGGGCTCTTTTTGTAGAAAAAGCCCAGCAGGAACTCATTAGCATAACAGGCCACACCCAACAGCAAAACTCATTAGCATATTAGGCCACACCCCTGACAGCACAGCTCATTAGCACATTAGGCCACACCCCCATGTTACCAGAAGTGTGGTCATCCAGCCACACCCACCTTTCCCTTCTTATTCTGTTTACCTTGTTTGTTGTCAAAACCCAGGGGTTTTTTTGTAGCAGGGGCTCTTTTGCATGTTAGGCCACACACCCCTAATGTAGCCAATCCTAATGAGTTTCTGCTATTGGGTGTGGCCTATTATGCTAATGACTTCCTACTGGGCATGGCCAACTCGGGAGCCAGCCAGAACTCCGTTCCTGTGCGTTCCTGCCACAAAATAGCCCTGGTTATTGCCAAAATACGCGAAGTGGAGGAGATGGGGTTACTAGGTTCCCTCTTGGCCACCGGCACATGATAAGATAGGTTAGGGTTGCCAGATCCAGGTTGGGAAACTCCTGAAGATTTGGGGATGGAGCTTGGGGACGGCAGGGACCTCAGTGGGGTGCAATGCCCCAGAGTCCCCCCCTCCAAAGCAGCCATTTTCTCCAGGGGAAACTGATCTCTGTAGTCTGGAGAGGAGCTGGAATTCCGGGGGATCCCCAGGCCCCACCTGAAAGCTGTAGCAACCCGAGGTGCAGCGTTAGGAAAGTCAAGTAACGAATAAATATACACTGCAAGAAACTTTTGTAAATTAATGTGTTCTGTTTATAACTATCCTTCTATAAAGTGCATTGTGTATTATCAGGGGTCCTTTCATAGAAAAAGAGGTTCAGGAGCTCATTAGCATAACTCATTAGCATAACTCATTTGCATATGCCACACCACCTGACATCACCGGAAGTGTGTCAGATGGCAACACCCACCGCCCAGGCTCCACAGGACTGTTTTGGATGGCTAGCTATTGGGGGTGGGGGGAATGCGCAGATCTGCCCTCAAAGAGGAGGGAGAGCTTGTACCTGAAGGCAGGCCGGTGGGGGGGGTGCTCTGCAGCTTACCTGGCTGCTTCTTGCTCCTCGTGGTCCGACGGAGGGCTGCTGGGAGCAGGGGGTGGGGCTTGTTGCATGTGCCCGCCCCCTGGGCTCCTTACTGCTGGAGCTCCGCTCCTCTGCGCTCCCACAGGAAATGACTCCTGTGTATTATTACAACATCCTAATCAGGTATATATATTCAGTACATTCAATATAACAATAACACACAGTTCATACAATATAACAACTACCAGTCAGTTTTGCAGTCAGTGGGGTTTGACTTTTAAAATACTCCTGGAGATTTCTGTAACTATTTCTGTAACTC